CATTGATATGCATTTAAGTTAGAATGTTTGAATCTGTGAAGTATGTTAGTATGTGACATGTATGACTCAAAGCATTAATGTTTTAAATGTTATTCCTCGCAGTACCGGTTGCTACACATTCCATGTTCTCAACTATTGCAGTTTTTAATGGGCTAAACTTCTCTGAATGGAAAGAGGAAATCCAATTTTACCTTGGGGTAATGGATATGGATATGGCTCTTAGAGAAGAGGAACCTGGTGCTATTACTCCTGAAAGCACTTAGGATGAAAGGGACCATTTTAAGAACTGGGAAAGATCCAACATATTAAATTTGATGTACATGAAAATGAGCATAGCAAGCAACATTAAGTCAGCTCTTCCACAAACTGAAAGTGCCATCGAAATGATGAAACTTGTGGAAGAGCGCTCCCAAACCGCTGATAAGTCTCTTGCTGGGACACTTATGAGTACACTGACCACCATGAAGTTTGATGGTTCACGTACTATGCATGAGCATGTTATTGAAATGACAAGCATTGCAGCAAAATTAAAAGCATTGGGAATGGCGGTGGATGAGAACTTCCTGGTGCAGTTCGTATTGAACTCATTACCGTCTGAGTATGGTCTTTCCAAATGAACTATAATACCATGAAAGACAAATGGAATGTGCATGAATTGCACATTATGTTAGTTCAGGAGGAAACCAGACTTAAGAATCAGGGAGCTCATTCTGTCAATTATGTAAAAGCATCAAGAAGCTGAAAAGTATAAAGGTAAGACGCATGAGAAGAAAGGAGGAGGATGAGGACCCCTTAAAGTGAATGAGGCCTCTTCTTCTAAAATCCACAAGGCCAAATGAAAAGTTTGTCTTTATGGGCAATAGAGTGAAAGTTCCGGTGGAAGCTGTTGGGACGTACCGTTTAATTCTCGACAGTGGATTTCATTTGGATTTATGTGAAACTCTTTATGTACCTAGTATATCTAGGAATTTATTTTCAATTTCCAAACTTGATGTTGCTGGATACTCTTTTAAATTTGGTAGTGGTAGTTTCAGTTTGTACAAGCACAATCATTTGATTGGTAATGGTAATTTATGTGATGGATTATATAAATTATGTCTTGATAATCTTTATGCTGAAACACTTATGACTCTGCATCATAATGTTGGTACTAAATGTGCCTTAATTAATGAGTGTTCCGCTTACTTGTGGCACAAACGTTTGGGACATATTTCCAAAGAAAGGATGCAAAGATTGGTAAATAATGAAATCCTTCCGGATTTAGACTTTACTGATTTAAATGTTTGTGTGGATTGTATTAAAAGAAAACAAACAAAACACACAAAGAAAGGAGCCACAAGGAGCACTCAGCTTCTTGAAATTATACACACTGATGTATGTGGTCCGTTTGATGTTAATGCCTTCAATAAAGAAAAATATTTTATCACTTTCATTGATGATTATTCACGTTATGGTTATGTCTATTTGCTGCATGATAAGTCTCAAGCTGCAAATGCTTTGGAGATTTATCTTAATGAAGTTGAAAGGCAATTAGACAGAAAGGTGAAGATTGTCAGGTCTGATAAAGGTGGTGAATATTATGGAAGGTATGATGAAAGTGGACAACATCCGGGCCCATTTGCTAAATTTCTGGAAAAGCGTGGTATTTGTGCTCAATACACAATGCCCGGTACACCGCAACAGAATGGTGTATCAGATAGGCGTAATAGGACCTTACTGGATATGGTTAGGAGTATGTTAAGTAATTCTTCTTTACCTGTTTCATTGTGGACTTATGCTCTAAAAAACTGCCATGTATGTATTGAATAGGGTTCCTAGTAAGTCAGTTCCAAAGACTCCTTTTGAACTTTGGACTGGAAGGAAACCTAGTATAAGACACCTGCATGTTTGGGGTTGTCAGGCAGAGATTAGATACTGCAATCCGCAAGAAAAGAAACTGGATGCAAGGACAATCAGTGGTTATTTCATTGGTTATCCAGAAAAATCGAAAGGGTATAGATTTTACTGTCCTTATCATAATACAAGGATTATTGAATCTGGAAATGCAAAGTTCATTGAGAATGGTGAAGTTAGTGGGAGTGAAACACCACGTAAAATGGATATTCATGAAGTGAGAATACGAGTTCCATTACCTTGTAGCTCTAGTAAAGTTGTTGTTCCTCATGTTATTGAACCAATCAATGATAATGGAGGACGAATTGATGATCCCACTACTCATGAAGAAATCATTGTTGATGAACCGAATGAACCCATAGTAGAAGAACCACAACAAATAGCATTAAAAAGATCTCAAAGAGAAAGGAGACCTGCTATTTCTAATGATTATGTGGTATATCTACAAGAGTCTGATTTTGACATGGGTATTCAGGATGATCCAGTAACATTTTCACAAGCCATGAATGGTGAAAATGGTGATAAGTGGTTAGATGCTACGAAAGATGACTTGAAATCTATGGAACAGAATAAGGTTTGGGATCTTGTTGAGTTACCAGAAGGGTGCAAGAGAGTTGGTTGTAAATGGGGTCTTTAAGACCAAACGAGACTCTCATGGTAACTTAGAACGTTACGAGGCCAGACTAGTTGCAAAGGGATTCACTCAGAAAGATGGCATTGACTATAAAGAAACTTTTTCACCAGTTTCAAAGAAGGATTCTTTAAGAATCATTATGGCATTGGTGGCTCATTATGATCTAGAGTTACACCAGATGGATGTGAAAACTGCATTTCTAAATGGAAATTTAGATGAAGATGTGTACATGGACCAACCAATAGGGTTCATAGAAAAGGATAAAGAGCACATGGTGTGCAAACTTAAGAAGTCAATATACAGACTTAAACAAGCTTCACGGCAATGGTATCTTAAGTTTAATGATACTGTTGTTTCCTTTGGATTTAAAGAAAACACTGTTGATCGATGTATATATCTGAAGATCAGTGGGAGCAAGTTCATATTTTTGATTTTGTATGTTGATGATATTTTGCTGGCAACTAACGATCTTGGTCTTTTAACTGAGACAAAGAAGTTTCTCTCTAGTAACTTTGAAATGAAAGATATGGGTGAGACAACTTATGTGATAGGAATAGAAATATTCCGTGATAGATCACAAGGACTGTTAGGTTTGTCTCAGAAAGCATGTATTAATAAAGTTCTAGAGAGATTCAGAATGGAAAACTGCTCATCATCTTCAGTTCCAATTTAGAAAGGAGATAAGTTTAGTCTCATGCAATGTTAGTCTCATGCAATGTCCTAAAAGTGAATTGGAACGAAAAGGAATGGAAGCAATTTCGTATGCATCATTAGTTGGGAGTTTAATGTATGCTCAGACTTGTACGAGACCAGATATTAGCTTTGCAGTTGGGATGTTGGGTAGATACCAAAGTAATCCCGGTATGGATCATTGGAAAGCTGCAAAGAAAGTTTTGAGATATTTGCAAGGAACTAAAGGTCACATGCTTACTTATAGAAGGTCTAACAACCTTGAAGTGATAGGATACACAGATTCAGATTTTGCAGGATGCGTAGACACAAGAAAGTCTACATGTGGTTACCTGTATCTTTTAGCTGAAGGAGCTATATCATGGAAAAGTGCGAAGCAGACTGTAATAGCTGCGTCCACTATGGAAGCTGAATTTGTGGCATGCTTTGAAGCCACGATTCAGGCTAAATGGCTACGGAACTTTATTTCAGGGCTTGTATTGGTCGACAATATTGAAAAGCCGCTAAAAATTTATTGTGATAATTCCGCTGCAGTCTTCTTTTCTAAAAACGACAAGTATTCCAAAGGTGCTAAACATATGGAATTAAAGTACTTTGCCGTTAAAGAAGAGGTTCAGAAACATAGAGTGTCTATAGAGCATATTAGCACCGATCTTATGATAGTTGATCCCTTGACGAAGGGATTACCGCCCAAGACATTTACTGGTCATGTATGTAGAATGGGCATTATGTCAGCTAGTGAATGATGAAAATTATAGTTATGCATTAAGTCTTGACACTCTGAGCTCATTAATGAATATGTGTTTCTGTTATTGTCTTATTTTCAATTTATGTATGCATGCAAGTATATGTGATGATATTGAAAATAATTATGATCTGTTATGAAGACATTATTGTTGGACATAATGTACACTTCCTATTAAAGTATCATGTTAGGAAGAAGAGTCAATATAGTGGTACATGGAAGGGACTATGCCGACTTGATAACATACAACCGCCATGACTCATGTTGATTTTATTTCTAATAATGAATTATGATAAGGTCAATGTATAGAACCTTTAGCCTAGTAAATGCGCATCATAGTGAATGTTAATTAAATCATGAAGGGACACCTTATGACATGAGCCAAGTGGGAGAATGTAAAACTATTTGTGTCTCATGTGTAATGTGTGTCAATTGATTTAATTGATAATAAAAGAGGCTTTATGGTAATTGACGTTTCGCATTAATGGTAATTGACGTTTCACATTAATGGTAATTGACGTTTTGACTATTAAGGGAAGTTTTATAAAGAAGTAACTGGTGACAGGTTCAGTTACGTTCAGAGAAAGGAGATTTTCTGATAAAAGGTGGTTTACAGAAACGCTCTCCATCATTGTCTACCCAGAAGAGTTGTATCAAATTCCTGTTAAAGAAGATACAAGAATAATGAAGGGTTAAGACTCTGAGAAAGGTTTTCACCATCAAAGTTCTTCCGCACTAATGGAGAAAGGTACACTTTTATGTGAAACTCATAAATTCTAAAGATCTTATATCATGTTCTTGCATGTAGAATATTGAACATGTATTACTGATTTACTTATGAAATTACTTACACTACAGATGCACCAAATATTCGGTGCATCTTCCACTCACAATGTAATACGTGTCTTACATTTTATCAGGGGAAGATGCATCCAAAAATCGATGTATCCGTAGAACTAAAGATATCTTCCATCTGTGGAGGATCCATTCTTGCCTACAATACCATGCTTTTTTGTTTTTGTTTCAACATTCTTCTATTTAATCACGTCTTGCTGCCAAGGGAACAACTTCGGCAAGAGGAGTTGAAATAGGAGTTGGAAGTGGCGTGGTTCGACACACCGGACATGAGAGGTTTACCTGCAACCACCGGTTAATGCAATCTCTATGAAACGCGTGACCACAATCAGGTAGAAGCTGCAATAAATCTGTGTCCTTGTAATCTGCCAAACATATTGAGCAGCATGATGTTATTGTTGCTGAATCAGGTTTATGCTGCTTTGCTTCAGAATACAATAGCATCGGATAACAGTTCAAAGATGCTTCTTCTTGATGAATTTGGATGGTTAAGGCAGAAGAATCTAGCTCCATGCTAGTGTTGGCAGTGGCACGCACTTGCCTGTTTTGCAAGCTTCCACGGCTACAATAATAAGAAATGAGAGTTAAGACTGTGATCACTATGAGAACCATAAGTGATAACCCAATTGAATAATATGCATAACCATGCTGGTTATCTGAAGGGTTGTCGTCAGAATTAATGGAAGTGTTGTTCATGATGCTTTGAGTTGGGGCTGTCAATCTCCACTGTGAATAGAAGGACTAGGGATAAGAATGCCCCTTTAATTTAAAACGGATCCTAGGAAAATTTTGAATTCTTCATTTATGAGTAAGCTAATATACCAAGAGGCTTGAATTCTTGCTCCATAAAAAATCAATGAAGGTATTCAGTAATCATTGGTTCAAATGATAATTATTAGAGAATAGTATATCTTCAGATATATAAAACCATTAAAAGCCCTCACCCAATAGCTTAAGTTTTTGAGTTGAATTGATTCTTTATATTGTATCAGAGCCTCGTGTTCCGGGTTCGATTCTCGCTGCCCCCCACTTTCTTTCAAATGGAATTTCTTTGTTCGCACAGGTAGGTGGGCCTGTGCATTGTCCCCCAGTGGGCTCTCGTGTGAGGGGGCGTGTTGAGATATATAAAACCATTAAAAGTCCTCACCCAATAGCTTAAGCTTTTGGATTGAATTGGTTCTTTACGGTATAAATTATTAAAAAGCCTTCGCCTACCAGCTTAAGCTCCTGAATTGAATTAGTTCTTTATATGGTACCAGAGTCTCGGTGTCACGAGTTTGATCTTCACCGCCCCCAACTTTCTCTTATGGTATTTCTTAGTACAGGTATTGATGGATCTTCACTTTCTGTCGATTCATCAATTACTCGATTCCCTTTACCAGTTAATCCACATGTTTAATGGTAAAACTTGTTTCTCTTAATCAAGAGTTTCAAGTTCTAGCTCTAATGGGAAAAATGATTATAAAAAGAGTCATCTATATAGGCTAGACAATACTCAAACTCGGTTTTAGTTATGAACTGGTTGGGATTAAAATAAAAATAAAAATAGAGTTTTAGGATCTTTTTGAATGTGTTGTGTGTTTTTTCTTTAAAATTATTTTATAGAATAATTAATGAAATAAGTATTTTCTGTATTAATTTTCGTTTTGTTTTTTCTATTTGTATTGGAAAGGGAGGTAATATTGCGTGAGTGATTAGAACATGTGAGCTGGGTATCATATTCGCACACAAAATAAAAAAAGATGGAAACTGAGGGGAGTTATTATGTGGTGATGGTTTCTACTTGCAGTTTACTGGCTGGTGAAGGCTAAATGTACGTGTCATTGACTGATATAAATATATATTTTTTTGAAAATATTTCAATCGGTTCATTGCTTCGCAACTAATCTGATTCAGGACGGGTCCAATATTAAGGCTTTAAACCCTTCCCAAAGGTGGTACTGGGGAGATTCGAAGACATGCTCTCGCTCCCACCTGCTTAGCTCCTATGCGCCAACCAGTGGCAGACCCAGAAAAAAAGTTTAAGGTTGCACACTTAGGGTGAGGGGTTCGGGGGCAGCGGCCCCGAATATTTTTTTTTTAATTTAAATGTATTAAAAAATATATAAACAAGAAAAGAAAAGAATTATAGGGGTGGTTAGGTTGGGTCCATGTTAGTTAAAATTCCGATTTAAATATGTGATTTTATGATTTTACAATTTTTTTTAATCAAAATGATTTCATCAAAAATCCAAACAATTTTACGATTTTATGATTTTTTACGATTTTTTTTATATTAGGATTTTAAGTTTTATGATTTTTTATCCTCCTTCCGATTTTAGGTAAGATCCCGATTTTAACTATCATGGTTAGGCCTATGTTTATTTTTTTTCTTTTCAATCTTTCTAAATCTTTTTTTTTTTTTTTTAGTTAACCTATATCACCCACCCATTGAAAAAAAAAATCTCAAACTTATGTCTGCAAGTGCAGACACCGGCAACTGTGTGTGTCCGCTACTGGCACCAACTGAGCTACCACCGTTTGGTTTTTACTCATATATTTTTTTTTTTTTTTGATAACATTAAGGGGCGAAGCCCCAAACAAAAACAAACAAACAACCAGAAATAAAAAAATAACTATGCAGGGTCTATATCCCTACAAGAGGAGATTCCCTGAAGATCGTGATCAAATAACTGAGCAAGGTGAAACGACATAATTCTATGACTCCAGAATCCAGTATCTTTGTGAAGAGCAGACTTGGCTAACCAATCTGCACAGGAATTAACTTCTCTTGGAATATGAGAAAGCGTTACCTCCTAATCCTGACCGACGAGTGCTTGCCATCCGTAAGCCAAAGATAGCTAGGAAGACACGTCATGCTAAGAAGAAACTATTCGTGTTAATGTCATTATATTTGACAATTCATATATAAACGCAAGATTCACACCAAGAATTGTGTAATTTTTATAATTGTATAATATTGTTACAGATATTAATAAAATATTATCAATGTACTCTCATATTACTATAATGAATTTGTTGCATTATATAGCTCAGAGCTTGTCATGATGAAGTGAATTCGATCATCGTCGTCTCCGTTTTCTAATATAATTAAAATAAAAAAGTTAAAATCAGCGGTAAACCAAAAAATTAAAAAAAAAATACGTATGTACACTATCTACGTTTTAAGGCCTATTGAGTGAATGAGTGTATTAGAAATATTTAAACAAAAAATTATTAATATAATCTCATTTAATAATTTAAATTTTTAAGTTAAAATGATTGCTTTGCAAAGTATTATGAAAATTGAAATATTGGACGAATGTGCGTATACATGCTTCAATTGATTTATTGCAAAGTTTGACTTTGGCCTGTTATTGCATGTGGCAATGCTAAATGGTAAACGAGGAATCAATATTAAAAAATTGGGCAAAGGTTTCCCCATAAGGGATTCCGTTGCGTTTGAAGTTTTTTATTTTTGGTATGGCTGTTCCTAAACTTTGCTGACTAGTTTAATTAGATAACTGAACCACTTTACATACTAAAAAATATATATTTCAAGGTCAAAATGGTCTTGGGAGTAAAAAGGATTTCTTATTTAATTTATCTACTATTTGTACTATTATCCAATTCCCATTTGGCGATTCAATAGAAGAATTTGATTTTTTTAAATGATTATATTTATAGCCAAGCTATTTTAATAATGTGTTAAAATAGATCAAAATAAATTTTCTTTTGCTCTTTTTACATTCATATTTGATGTATATGTAAAACTTTTTCTACTAATCTTGATTGTTGTTATTCTTTGAAGGGCATTTTATTTTATACAATTCCAAAAGAGTTTGATTGTGTTAACAAGTACTTGTTCAAACTTTATGTCATTAGAATCACATTAGATTTATTTTAATTATGTGTTATTATATTTTTTTATTTTTTCTTTTCTTTTCCACTAATACCTGTTCAGGCACTATTATGTCTTTGTAAGAGGTTTTTATTTATTTATTGAATACAATATCATTAAAAGCTCGCGGAGTATTTGGTGTCTTAAGTATGTAATACGTTAATCCATGCATATAAATAAATTGTTGTTTATTTCATGTTTATTTCGGAGTATTTAATGAAAATGAATGATGCATTATCTATAGTTGATAAATGTGTTCTTCTATATCGTTGTAAAAATAATGAAAAACGGAATAGATTTTTTTTTTTTAAATATAATGTCATATCATTTACCTATTAAATAGAAATAAGAGATAGTTTGTACAAATAAATAAATAAATAAATAAATAAGAGAAAGTTCCCTTATTTCTTCTAAAAAAAGCAATATAGTCGTTTACCAAAAAACAAAAAAAAGAAAGCAACATAATCATTTAATTTAGAGGAAGTGGAATGTATAATTAAGATTTAACTTAAATTATATGTATCTATATAGATACAAATATTTGTTGGGAAAATATTTTAATTAGAGGTTAATAACATTTTTCTTTTTTCATATGATACAATCATTTGTTTCAGTAATTAATTCAGTCATATCACGAATTACATAATTAAATGTTTTCGACTTAGTACTAAGAATCCTTATGAGATGGCGGAAATAGATCTAACCCAATTTGTCTCTCCCCCCTATCTTATTGTATGTGTAGTCATCTTCCATTGAGAAAATAAGATACTTTTTTTATTTTATTTTTTTTGTCTTCGTTTTCGAATGTATTATGCATACTTAGAGTTAGTGTATCCCAAGGTAAGGTAAAGGAGCACCACTAAAAACGGATTGTTTCGACAAAATTTAGGGCAAGTTTGGAGCACATGATAAAGAAGAAATGATAGGATAACTCATCATATCCTACTTTTATCTCTTGTTTGATGAGTCAATAGGATATGATTAACTTATCCTATTGTCTTATTTTATCCTATCTAATACATGATTTTTATCCTATGAGAGAAGCTGAGTTAGGATTCAACATGATAGGATATCAATATTGGATACCCAATATATTCCCACGCTACCTAATATATTTGTATTTATTGCATTATATTTTGTTTTTTCTTTCTCATTTCTCCTTCTACATAATCTTATCAGATTGCTAACAGCTCATCAAACACATGATATAGATTTATCAGCCCCATATCATATCCTACCTTTATCAGCCCCATATTATATCTTACATTTATCCTATCCTGTCCACCAAACGAGCCCTTAGGGGTGTATTGGATTAAGATTTTAATTTTTTATAAGATAATTTTTTTTATAGATTTTAAAAAGACTACTTAAAATTGGAGGGATTTTAAAGATTTTTAAAATTTTTTTTTACAGTCAAGATTTTATAAGATTTGATTTTAAAATATTTTAATAGAATTTATAAGATTTGAAAGGACAATATGAATTAATAAGATTTTTAAAAATCATATGAATTTTTAATAAACATTTAAAATTACAAGAGTCAATAAAAAAATAACAAAGAAATGCAATGATGTTAATAAAAAAAGTAAAACCTAATATAATTGTCTCAATTAGTAAAACATAATATAATTTTTAACAAACATTCAAAAATTACTAAGCAACAGCTCTCCATATATCTAAAGCTATACTAATCCTCCACGCATTAACATTTTCTTGTTCTTACTCTTGGGTTTGATCAATGGGTTTGACCAATGGGTTTGACCAATGGGTTAAAAATTATCTTTGGTATCAGAGCTATGCATATATGATTATAAGA